AAAAAATTAGTGGACTTCTCAAGATTTTTTCAGTTTTTTATCGAAAACGTGACTGCTTTACACGAGTTATACAGCAGAATCGCCATTTACATACGGTTAAATTGCACATCAATTCTGCGCTGAAGGTTGAGCATTAATTGAGTTGATAAATGAGATGGAATCAGTTCAAATAAAGATTTCAAGTGAACTAAGCGAAAAGCACAAAACTGACAATTCATCGAATCATGATTGACATTTGAATTGTTCGATTCAGAAAATTCAGAAAGCATTTTATGCTAATCAATGAACTACTGATAATACTTCTGTAAACGGAGTTATATGAAGAGAAACATGTTCGGGTCAGTTGTATGCTCACAATCAGGCTTTTTTCAACAAACGCTTAATTTCTCAACGAAATGGGATGGAACAAATCTTGAGCAGTCGAAGAAGTGCGGAATTCAGTCATGAAAAGTCAGTGATTCGAAAGATCAGCATGTATTTCTGAAGATATATTAAGGTATCTAAAGTTCTTGACGAAACCATGCTCTACACGTTTGTTTTCGATCACACAGAGTGATGCATTATCACAGAAGAATTAACAGCACCATTTTCGAGCAATCTGAAGACTCAGATTCGTTGAACAGCACGTATTTTCTTCACAATTTTAGAATCAACAGATTCTTTAGTATCCTAAGAGTATACGTCAATCTATCTGTATCCTCGGGTTTGCCTGGTAACATCGATGTCTTCACATCATCTGTTAGAACAGATTCTCAGCTATCAGAAAAACATATTTCTTTTCGATGGGTAATGCCTGGTTACACAGATATAGCTGAATTTCTGAAGGTATGTCATACACCTATTGATTATCAATACGATGCGACCAGAGCACTATGAATACCGTATTCAATCTACCTATATCCTCAGGTTTGCCCGAAACACATCGATTTCTTCACATCATCTGTTGGAACAGACTCTCAGCTATCAGAAAAATAAATATCTCTTCAATTGTCAACACTTGTCTACACAGATATAACGGAATTTCTACAGCTACCTCACTGCGATTGCATTGATTATATCGCCAAGTTACAATTTGATCTCTACACAGTTCAAAAGCATACTATTATAAGAATATCAAGAGCACCATATTGAAGCTATATGTAGGTAGGTGTAAGTTTAATCGGAACCGCGATGATTTTTCACATGAACTGATGGAAGGGATTCTCGGCTATTCAAAAAGTACATATCTCCTTGACAAATTACTCGTAGTTCCTCAGATATAGCTGAATTTCTGGCGGCAGCATTTATTCTGATACTTTAAATGAGTTCAGTGCTTGAATCGAATCGATTAGGATTTTGAGTTTGAGAAGAATCGGCTGGTTATACTTCAACGATATCAATTGATATATCATACTTCAACGTATTCAACAAATCAGTTCAAGCAAGACAACTAATTTCAACTTTTCATGTGTGAATGAATGCTTCTTTTGTTTTCTTGGACGCTCGTCAGCTGAGTCGATTCGTTTGATTGAGCGCATTGAAAGACGTTTTTAGACGTATGATGGATGGATGGATGATGCATTGTAAACATTCTGAATGCATCTATGCATTTAGCTGTAAACACATGGAAGAGTTTGAATGAATGCTTGATTTAATTTCGGAAATTCTGCCGAGAACATTTATCTCATTCACTGATAAAGTTCACTGCTTGCGCATTGTTGTTAGCAAGTTTTCGTTTCTTGACGATTCATTCTCGAGAATCGTCTAACCAAATATAGCGCTTACAGCATAGATTATATTCGAAGTTTTATTCGTCATCGTCTCTGTGAAGGCGACTTATGCATTGAATCGCTCTTCTTCTGACGGTTTTTTTGCGGGGTTGTTGAAGAAACTATAATGTCCCCGTATTTCTCAGAGTGTATGATCGAGTTGGAACCCTGTGAAGAATTCCCAGTTTTCCATTCTGTTTCAGAATGCTTCTATGAGATAATCTACACTGGAATTTCCGTTCATTTTATGAATGCCGTGAGAGGGATCTGATTGAAAATGCTCAAATTTAGAATCGACATTCACAATTGAATCGCTAAATGATTACCTAATATATGAACAATGCAAAGAATTTCTCCGCAAATTATTGCATTTCAAGCAATTCATCTGCTTGAATGGATTTGCGATACAAATTGTTTTTTTGCTCTCCTTCGGGAGCAAATCTCATCTCCCAACGAGATGCGATGAGAATTTTCGTACAATTCAAAGAATTGCTCTAGACTCTGCTTCAACGAAATCGCCTATTCCACTGAGCTACACACTCAAATCGATACACTAAATTAAGGATTCGGTCGGCATATCTTTAAATTGACATATCATCAGGTTTTTATATTGTCGACTAAATGCCTTTCCCGTAGCTCTAATTCAATAACTAGCGCAGTTATTCAGTTAGTGTAAGTCCAAACCAGGGCGTTTCTCTTCAATGGAAAGCACTTTGCCTGGATAACGTTGATTGTGGGAGTGATCCTGACGCTATAATTGATGTATTCTGATAAGTTTACGTCGGACGTTTCATTCGGCTCTTCCTCCATTCTCGATTATTCCATTTAATATATTGTTCGAATAGGTGGACACTCATTGTGGTCGCATGCTTCAGAGTTCTTTGAAATCAAATGAAAAGCCTCTGAAATGAAGCAAAATTCTGGTAACTAAGCAAACATTTTATTATCTTCGTTTGTATCTCATCTTATTCCATCCATCATTTATGAGCGATAAAGTAGGAGGAAGCATTTAAAATTGTTTTCTTCTCTTCATTCACTGCTTTGAGTCGATCAATTTTCGAAAAGTCACATTCACAATCAGTAATTTTTCTTTTCTCAGTCGACGGATAATTTCGAATTTTGTGCTTATCGTTAGCTATTTACTTTTTACTATGAACATTATAGAGGCGATATTCCATTTTGAATTTCGAGTAAACGTTACGACGAGAAATGAATTCCGAATAGAATGATGANGACTTGCTGGAAGGGCGAAACACTTTATATACTACTCGTATGCATCATTAAATCGTAATTGAATCATCACGATGTTCGAGTGAGTATTCAGCGATTAGTGATTCGTTTTATTCGTGGACGGCTTCATTGATTCCTGCATTTTTGGAATTTCTACGATTGCGATCTATCTGCGTGTCCATTCATTTGAGAGTTCATAATAATCAGTTTCAGAAATGACTAAACTTTTAATATTCGCCGGTTAGTCGATCGTTCATAAAGCTATATGATTGCTGCGGATGAAAGAGTTGATTAAGAGGCATTTGTTGGTGAAAGAAATGTTGTAATCAAATTTACTGAGGGCTTTTGGGAGCATTTCTTGATTTTGAAATCTAATAGAAAGTATCGATTAGGGTGAAGCGACGGACCAAGTGGAATTTTGGGCGTTGAATGTGTGGTTAGAGATGATGGAATTTGATCGATTTTAATTGGTGCATAAAATGGTTCGATCCTATCGTGCGCATTT